TTCATTACTTTTTGAGCAATAAATATTGGCACCTACATCCCGTTCCCCTAAGAATTTAAACAAATTGGGCATACCGGTGTGTTGGTGCCTAAAAACAATAGTTGCAAAAAATTTTGTTTTAATCTAGGTCAATTCTAACATATATTTAATTAAACATAACTTGTATCAACCCTTTTGTCAAACACTGTATATTTCAAAATGTTTAAAAACATTTAAACAATCCAAAACTTTATATACGAGATACAATTAGGAAAATTTAGGAAGTAATCTTGATTACCGTACATGAAAACTACTGTAGAATGTAAACTAAGTTCAGAGTACCCGAGTTGTCAAGTATACAAATTAAACTATTGTAATCATAACATTTAACAAATGATTTGAGACGTTAGATTTCTATTATATATTTCATGCGGTAGAATATTTTGAAAAATAATTTTTAGAAATAAATCAATTTTCTAATCTAAACATGATAATATATTATTTTAAAATCAACATTAGACACATTAATACTGTATATAATTTAAGATAATTTTATTTTAAAAAAATTATACAGTACATTTTATTAACTTTTAGCGCATAAATGTTATTAAGAATGAATAAAAATGTCTAGTTATAACTAGATTGAATATATTTGTGTTAACAAATTTTCTGCACACATTTCCTGGATCAATTTCCACAATATACTTATCAATAGTCAATTTGTTATATTTAGCCAACAATTGACTACATTCCGGCCTTTTATGCCAATTTGATGCTCACATAACACATCACTTTATAAGTCTGTTTGCTATCAATGTTTTCTGGTTTGAGATCCATATGAATGACTTGTGGATCCAATTCATGCAAATACTTGTTGTTTTATTTCAAGAATATTCTGTAATTATTTAAGTAAAAACTTTAAAGTTTAAGTTTTGATGAGAGTTGCATTTAAATGGTCACAGGTACATTCATGAGAAATAAGATTCAATAAAATTTATTTAAGTATTCAATGATTTTGTTTTCGTTTGATATATTGTTTATTTGTTATAAAACATTGAATTATAGATAAATAATAATTTATAATTATTATAAAATATAATACGCGCTCTGATTAGATGCAAATAATTTAAAGACCAGGATTGAAATATATATCTCGTGTCGTGTCTAACGAGTTCAGGATTATTTGTGGATGATTATTTTCACCATGCTCATCCGCCAGTCGTTTCAGCGTCTATACAATTATTAGATTTAGTAAATTAAATTGTAATTTAGTCATAGGAATATCATAATATACCTTTCCAACTAAATGAGTAAGGTGATAATTGCACGCATACTGTGCGATTGAATAACTGAATGCCTGTCCAAATAGTGTTATACCTTCATTGGGGTTACGCCATGAATTTATAGCTGAAATTAGTTTTTAGTTACTTAATCACATTATTTAAATTATATATGATAACAATTATTTGACAGTTTATGTAATACATACATTTTGCATGTGAATAAATGACATAACTCCTATTATTATTCACATTCAGATTAATCCGGATATTTTCAATTTGTTGGTAAGTTTCTAAAAGTGCATAAATATATTAATAAATTTTGGTCTCTCTCTCTCTCTCTCCAAAATATAAGCAATATAAATACAAACCCATAGAGAAAGTGTTGAAAACAAATATTTTCGGTTTCATCCGAAGAGAGACATCACTCTTAGGATTATTAGCGGAGAATATGTCCACAATTTCTGTGAACGACATCTCATTATCGACTTCGCGTTTGCCGTAACCGTAGATCTTCTGATCAAATCCGCCGCCGATAACCATCACAAGCAGGGCGTCGGCGACGAATCGCTGACACGACACCCCCAACAGCTTATCCTTGATCTCAGAGCACGTGAAGTCCACATATACCTCACACTTGAAGTCTAACTGTGCGAAAATGGATTTCCATCGCTTTATCTCAACGTCCAGGCCATCTGTGGTCACAAATATGATGGCCCGACCCCTCGGATGGGAATTCATTTGAAAGTATCGCGAATTTCCTGATCGCAGTTCGGGTGCTTTTGTCACTTTTAACTCGACATCAGTGGTGCACTCCCAGGGCTCCTTCGTTATGTACATCTCGATCACAGCCTCGACCTCTGGTCCAGCCCTGGCCAACAACTGTTTTAGCTCATCAGGACCCTTTTGCATTAACTCGTCCGCTATCGCCTTGATCATTTGTTGGCCTTTATTCTCATATATTTGAATTTCCTATTTGTGGATAATGGTCACTGGTTATAATTAAAGTTCATAAGAGTACCTTTAATACAGTATAATAATATAATTGTGCTTACTTTCATTTTGGCTAATAATGGATCTTCGTTAGTAGCGGTAATCAAACCAAGGTTAATTTTACTAATTAACGTATGAATCATATCGTAGACAGTATTATCGACTGAGTTGTCCATTTGATTCCGTAGTATATTATTGGTTGCATTGGTTTGTAATACAAGTGGTGTCTCATAGGACTCGACTGCCGTTGAAGTATTAGTTGATTGTTGGGGTTGTTGTTGAGGAAGGGTTCCGTTTACATACGTATACTCCAGTCCCTGACCTACTGGTCCTTCATTAGTTGGCCACTCGAAATCAAAGTCTTGCAATAAGTCTTGCAAAACAGGGTGTAGTATATTATTATCCGTATTAATACTATTGGTAACCAAATGACTGGAAGTCGTGTCCATACAGTCGTTGCGATTACCCGTTGAATTCGTGCCAAAATTGTAATCATTGTTTGCAATTGAATTGGGGTGATATTGGCCACCATGAACTGATTGTATATTAGCAGTATTCATTGGTGGTACAGATGTACAATTTGTCGTTTGATAACCCTGGTCTTTATACTCTGACGACTGAGTTGTCTCGAATTCATGATTCGTAACTGTATTGAGTGGTTGTGAGAATGATTGAGTCGGGTGTCTGTTAAAACTATTATTAGTCCCTGAGTGACCCTGACTATTCCCAAAACCCCGAAAGTTGTTAAACCACTGTTTTATACCAAACCCCGACGTGTCGGTCGTGTTACTTCTTAGACGTTTGTTACCACTGATGGCGCCCTACGTTTGGAATAATTTATTTATTATAGTCACAATTAAATTGAACTAGCTCACGTGTGTCAATCCGATTCTCCAACACTTGTGTAGTTTACAAGCCGGGCACACACTTATGGGACAATTTTCGGGGTCATTTGCACCCATTTGCCCTTTTGGACACGATTTCTATTATTATAATAAATTAATTATAAGTACATTTCAGTTATAATTATAAGTTATAATTTATAACATTGCATTTTACAGAATATTATCAAATATTAAAAAAATTAATACTGTATAATGCATTGATGTATCGATATAAATAATTATCTAGTTTAACATTATAATATGCAATAGAATTTACCTTTAATTTGCCATTTTTACAAAACCATTGTCTGTCGGCCTCACACGTCAATATACCACTGCCTTTGGGGACATAATTCTCACCTATTTATACAAAATTATTAATTGTTAAACGAATATAATATAATTATTACAGATTTATTTTAGCAAATATAAATACACAGTACCAAGTTTAAGATCCGGGTTGTCCTTGTTATTTACGCCACAAACATAACATTCACGATATTCTGTCATCACTTGCTATTGAAATACAATATTTTAAAATGTTTTATACTATTAACACTAATATTTTATTGAGACAATGTAAATATATTTATATTTTATCAGAATTAACATTAAGTATTAGCATTAGAATTAGAATAAGCATTAAGTAGTTATGAATAAAAATCATATGTTCTTAATTATAAAATTCAATACAATTTGTTAATTTTATAAAAGCTTATAATTTAATTCACAATATAATATTTTGTTCAAAACTTTTATTACCATTATACATTAGTGTATTAGAATAACTTTGGAAACACTTTGTTGAAGTGATATTTAAATTAGTTACCAGTTGTAGCAGTGAACCGGTGTATGATTAAATTGACAATCAACTCAAATGAACAATTTATATGAAACTAATGCCAAATAATTGTAAACACAGTTTACAAACACAACTGAATGCAAGCGATCCTCTCAAACATCTCATCACTTACTGAACGCATAGTTTGTCTGCAAATAGTGTTAAACTCTTCACATGTTTTTCATCGCATTATTCATACGTTTGTTTCGTTCGTTCGTTCGTTCGCTACGTCAGAGACCAGACTAACCAACCGCTCACTATTGTAGAGGACAGTCCATTATTTTGATACGTGTCCCCAGAATATTGAGTTTTAATAGAGTAATAGTGTCCAGTTATATGTCCACTTTTTAAAAATAAAATTTAGGAAAGATTTAAGTATCAAACTGTAAAGAACACTGTATTCCAAGTAAAAATAGTAATAAAATTCTTATTTTAATATATAAGTTATATATTGTAAAGAATAATGTTGTTATTTATAATAATAATAAATTTTAATTAATTTAATACCTATAGTTAAACTTAGCAAAAATTATTGTGGTATGCCAGACTATTATATAAAAAATTGTGATTCAATTCCACTATAAAAATTGATGTTCTCTATTTCTATCAAATTGTCCACTATTAGTGAAATATGAGTTGGTCACTCTGTCTGATACTGTACTAAAGTATTAAATGAATACTATTAATGATAAATATAGTATGAGTTTTAAGTAATTGGAAAATTTTCAACTTTATGGCGCGCGCTTAAGACTTAATTGTTGGGATCAATCTATGCGTCCATTTGTAGGCCTGTTATCACTGATTATGAATATCATATGATTTAC